ATCGAAGCATGTCTTCAAGATGAATTTAATGTCTTGATTTGATTTGAGATGATGTCTTTTATCTTCAAAAAAGGCGTGTGTGATATGCTACGACGACATATTCTATTCGAGCTTTGTTTCAGTTTCATACTCTCACTCAGCTGAACCGCCTATATTAACTTCGAAAAGGGAGAAAAATCCTTCAATTCAACATTTCTCGGGATAGGGTGTTTGACATAAGAAGGAGGAGAGCCGGGCATTAGCCGGACGATCCGACTGGTTCCTAATAAATGTAGCTGAGATAGACAGCGACAGAAACCAAAAAAAAAACATCAAAGAGGGGATGATACGGAACTTGCTAGGCATTTCGACTAAATGGAACAAGGACTTTTTTGAACCACATATTATGGAACGTGAGAGGAACATATAATGACAATTGAATGGTATAGGCGGGAGCACTGGGAGCAATTATGGTCACAATGGCTTTAGTGCTTTGAACTCTTGTAACGCTTTTTTTCAGCAGTATTGCTATGGTCACTTGCCACCATTACATTTTAGGCAAAAACATGACTCTGGGCGCGACTGAACCGAATTCGGATATAAGAGCGTTTATGCTAACAGCCCTGTCCAGCTGAGGATGAGATGACAGAAGGTGCCGTCGATAGAAGAAAGTGGAGACGGCTGACAGGAAGAGAGCACCCTGGGATTAACGCCGTGGAGAACAGGACATGAGAAGCAAAGCAGAAGTTCAACATAAAATGTTGCCATTTCGTAATACCTCCTTAAACTTTTACGATCACATCTTATAACTATGAACCACTAGTGGTTCCACACTTACACGTTTCATGACTTCCGCTCTGCGAAACGAATACCCACGGTCGGTGATAAGTGGTAACTTGTTAAAATATTCCTGTGCCTTAAGTAGGTAACAATACGTGGTCAAAGATGTTACTGTATATTTTAAACGGCAAATGAAAATCTCTATCTAGTAACCTAGTAACAGCTCATGCACACTGGTCATCATCTCATCATCTTCTATAGTACAAAAGGAGTCACCGCTACTCGTTTAGCTGCTTCCAACATATGAAACACTTTCCCAGTACTGATGAGGTAAACGACTTTGGTCGCATGGTTCATAGTTAGCGAAATCCCCATTGATTAATAAATAAATTAATTGATTGATGACTTGATTAGTAAATCCAATTGCAATGAAAGATGGAATGTCCAGGTAAACAATGCAACCCGACCGTACCACTTAAAAGGACAGCTTCAAGGCGGATGAACTCACTGTGCAACGAACACTGTGTTCGTAAACGATTGTATGCATAATACCCTAAAATTCTGTAGATAGAGCGATTTAGTTTACCGGTGAAAAATGAATTGGAAAAAATTTAAATTGAATGCAGTCANTCTTCTAACTTAATGGATGGATAAATAAAAGTTGGAGGAGAAGTTTAGAAGAAGATCCGTTAAAATCGCTATTTTTCTATATGAATTGTTTATTAAGTGGGCGGGGTTTAAGAGTTGAGGGGCGGAGCTTCTTCTAAACTTCTCCTCCGACTTTTATTTATCCATCCATCAAGTTAGAAGGGTGACTGCATTCAACTTCAATTTTTTCCAATCCATTTTCACCGGTAAATTAAACCGCTTTTATCTATGGATTTTAGGGTAGTTAAGGGGACATAGTAGCATGCAAATACTTTGACCATTCGCCATGAAGAAGAATACTCCACCATAATCACCTAATGTCATATCTAGAATGTGATTCACTTCAATGCGCATGAAATATCCGCAACTGCATAAGTACGACCCCGGATTAATGTCATATATCCTGAAAACCTCACGTGATAATTTCCAGAATCCTAACGAAAGCGCAACCTACCTCAATCTGTGTCATTATAACATCACCAAACGTGAGCGACATAAGATCGAAAAGTTCTTCTGAAAAAAAGGGATCGAAGACAGCATCAATTATAACAATTTCCCATGAGCAATAGATAGGGAAAATCATATAAACAGTTTGATTCATATCCTAATAAAGCGTACTCGTGTGGGAAATGGGGTCATTCTATTTAATCGACCTAGCAACGTGCCTGTAAGGTAACGAGGACACGCCTGGCATCTTCCTTAGTGCACAGTGGTCAGGTTCGTGTCGTTTTTATAGATGGTAGCCTATTTCGCCTTCACAGAGGCTACTATTATGCCTACGGTTTGGTTTCACTTCTTAAGCAATCACTTCCTTCGCCACACTAACGCAAAAGCTTCACCTTCTTGATCATCAACTGAAAACGGCATAAGGGGAATCTTTCCAACCTTACTCTCCTCAACAGACAGTGCATCAATGGGAAATAGTCAATGGAATGAAAAAAAACACCAGATCCTTAGCACGATACTGCATTACAGGTATCAATGTTGCCTCAAACCCTACCGAATTTACCGCATAGAGTAAACTCAGAGAGAAACTCCACAACCATTTACGTCCATCTATTATAAGCGAAATGACTGGTAAACAAAGTAAACATCGTAAATTTATTGGATGAAGTAGCTAAGAATACTCACTAGCTGTCACTGTGCGGGGAAGACCTCCTACGAAGATAGCGTTCTTAGTGAGTTTATCCATAAAGTCTGAACCATTTTCACTGAAGTATTTTGTATTTCGGTTCAGCCACACTCGAACGTGAATCTGAAATAATGCAGATGAGAAAGAAAGCTGAGCCTCTATAAAAAGAACGTTTACTCACAGAGACATGTCTAGTACCGCCCACAGGTACTGAAATGGAAAATTTCCCGTTTATTTGAGCACATTTGTTGACGAGATTGACTACGGAATCAGCCGAGGCAAAAACTGCGAATGCGTAACCTTTAAAAATTGAGAATTGATTATTCAATAAAAGCTCCAAAGCTTGAAAAGTGAGAGGTTTTTCTGAAGGACACTGAATGAAGCCTCGAAGTAGCGATCGGCACATGCCTTGCTGGCAGCGCATCAAAAAGATTGTTATTTGTTCCAGTATTGTTTATCTTCAAGATAAAGTGAAGCAAAAGCTTGGTAACGAAATAAACCGTATAGTTTTAGTCCTCTGAGAAAACCAAATATGAAACACTACTCTGCTCCGAGACTATCTACATTCATTTCAACACAGAATCACTCATCGTTGAGCAAAACGCCAACCTGGTGAGGTGTGGCTGATATACAACTTGTCCCATGCTTTTTGCAAAGATGGTTGAAGTGGTTGGAATGTGGCTAGCCTTAGCGTTCATTCCCCTGAATTGGAACCTCCAGGGTCTAAGGAGCTGGCTGGCTTGAACCGTGGAATTTTCTACACGGAAATGGAGCAGCATGAGCTTCGTCAAACTAATAAACCATCGCCGAAGGCAACTTAATCAGGAAAGCTCTGCTCATATCATACCTGGGAGGATTTCTCCTTCTAGGATTTTTTTTACTGCTTTTATGCCTTCCTATTTGATTAACTTTTCACAACCCTATTCAAGTATATCGTGAAAAACGAAATATCCTCTCAAATTTTCTGGGCTGGCGGATTGAAGCACAAATGACTGCCCATATTTTTGAGGATATGCCATCAGAAACGTTTGTCAACTCCATGGATCTTGCGGTGGCCTTTGAACAATAATAATTTATGATACATTCAAACAACGAGGGATGATGATCGCTTGAAACCTTTCCCATAGAAATCGACCATAGAACACACCAAAACGATGCCGTCATCGTTGACGAGAGCAGAATTTTTGCTGTAGTTGCAGGAAGGTTTACATTTAACCAGATGAAAACAAAAAAAGAAAGTTTAGAAAAGAATAGCGCCCTAGTAGTCACTGATAATGCGCCCAAACTTTGCTTCCACAATTTTGCCTGACTTTGTACGATACGAAAGATGTGCCGACGTTTTTTCTAAGCACCGACATCAAAGATCGATTGAGCGAATACACACTACAAAATCCATTAAGCTTGTACAGAACAGAGGACATCATGAGATGACGGAACAAAAACAGAAATAGCGTTAGTACCAAATTTCTGATGAATCGTCACTACGCATACTAAACCACAGAACTTGAAAAAAAAAACCGTTGTTGGCTTCTTATGCCACTCTAATCGCCTGCAATGTAGTAATTATAAAGAGGTAAATCGCTCTCATCTTTGACTTTCAGCCACTCGTGAAGGGTGAAGGAGCTCGTCGAATGAAAGTCTTTAATAGATGAAGTACATAGAAGCTGCATATTCGCTTAGCTTAATTGGGCCAAATTGATTGGTCTGAGCAACTTCCTCTCTAAGCAATTTCTAGACATGTATGCTCCAAACCTATTTGATACAAAATTATTTTGGTAAAGGCGCCGTACCCCAGGTATTTTGCGGAGACTTAGGGGATTATGAAGATCTCCTTTTTCAAAACAAATTTTAAGGCAACATACTGCTGCTGACATAATTTACGAACAAAAACCGTAAACAATGCCTTCTTGATCAGAGTCGGTGTTTTCTGTCAGTGGCCACACAATCTCCACTTCACCGAATGTAGCAAAAAACCGTTGGAGATCATCTGCAATGGAAACTTTCGATAGAAGCGGAAATAATTCTTACTGTAGAAAAACTGACCTGGGTCAGTGTAGGGAGGGAGACCACCAAGAAAAACTTTGCGAGAGTAAGTCGTTTGGGGATGGTTGCCCGTAAGCATGAGACACATTTCTTTTTCAAATTCCTCATCTTCATCTAACCCTGAAGAATCAAGCTATATGATGCTTTTTTCCAAGGGTGAAGGGTTTTAGCGAGGTTAGAGAAATCGTTCAACATCTCGTTATCACCATTAATTATAGAAAATGGGTGGGAAAGGAGGAGGAGAAGGCGGGAAAGCTTTCCTATTCAGTGGCGTTAAGCGGGGAGTTACTCTCCCTGAAGATCACGTCACGTTCTCTGTACCCTCGCAGGGAAGGGGGAGGTTTAAACGATCAGTGGGGATATGCGGTAGCCGCCCCAGAACCACTACCGTTTGCCGTAAGAGTTCGGGAGGAAGTGCCGCTACCACTAGGCGGTAGTGCGAGAGGAGGGGTCTCGCTCTGTAGACCGGTAATGGCGCTCGGAAACGCTTTTTGGCGAAAAGAACAAAGTTTCCCAATTGAGCATAGGGAAGGAACACTGGCGTGGGCAAGATGTTCTCGTGTAAACTGGGATGAAGGAAAAATTGAACATTCAGTTTAACGCTGGTCCATTTCTTGTCGAAAGTTTCTCCCAATCACACTTTCATCAGACTAACAGTGGAAAATTATAGTGATAATAGTGATAATAACAGGAGTAGTTATCGCAACTAGTTGATAACAATAACAAGAAGAAAGTTGACATTAACGACACTAGCAAAAGTAAAATTTTGGGATTTTACATACCGCTATCGCAGACGACTGGCGAAGACAGTGACTCAAGACTTTGAGAAGACTCCGAGTTATTAAACTCCGCAGAAGCTGAAATGTTTGCATGAGTAGAAGTTGAAATAGATTTTGTTCCACTACCATTCAATTTTGTGCCGATTCCTGAAAGAAAGAAAAGCGTGTTTAAGGTGTAAACAAAAAACTTTTGTGTTCGTCAACTTCTTCATTTGGGCTTATGGAGTAATCATGAGTGATAAACCAAAATCAAACTGGTACATCTGATCGCTCATCAGCGCTGTGTAAGCTGTGGATGACCACACTATTGACAGACAGCTAAATTACTTGAGTATAGAGTAACTGAACGATGCCAGCCGTCGCTGGCGGTATACGAAATATGAGAAATCCGTGAAAGTCCACGAAAATACCATTAAAATACTACCACAACGGAGTAGTCCTTCGTGGTCATTACTGACTGAAACATGAAGGATACGCGCACCCGCACAAGTACCTTGCCATAAGTGCAATAATCAATAGACATCTACCCGGTAGGCGAGACACCATGTAGGATCACTCTTGCTGATGCTCATTCAAGTAAAAGCCGTTAGAAGAAATACAAAGGGATTATAGCCTAATACCCTAAAATGGAAAGACCGCTGAGGTTAGCTCCATAGATTTGTGAATAACTTTAAAAGGAAACAAATGCAAGTTGAGCTCAGATGAAGGGTGATATATCAACTGCAAACGAACATGGACGGCACATCTGATGGTCAGGTGTTTTCAGGGTTCAACGACATGTCGACCGGCCACCAACCGACTGACCGCGTTGCTGGCATCAGCGCATTAGCAGAGCAGGACGGGGGACGGTCAAGTCGTGCGTCCGGGGCGCGCGTGGCAAACTGCGCGGCGAAATTCATACCTATCTGACGACTTTAGCGCCTATTATTTGGGCCCAATTCTGAAGTACAGAGAATAGTAGGATCAACTGACCTTACTAATCTACCCTACTTCAGATTTGAGCTCCTATGTAAGCGCCGGACTCGTCCAAGTTCGCCACGAACTTCGCCGCGCAATTTGTCGCGCGCGCCCTCGGACGCACGACTTGACACACACCCGCGCAGGACGGACTGCGTTGAAAGCCGCGCGAGCGGTGTCGATCAGTGTCCAGCGCTGTGAAGGCGTGGCCAGCAACGTGGTCGGTCGCCGCACAACGCACGCCTTAGCTCTGAAAACACGCCAAGGCCCTTTTTTCCTTGTTGCCCATCGCTTGATAGGGGAAGAAGGAAGCTCCAAAGGCGTCATTCATACTTTGCGTCAGCGTAATGCTGACGTCAGACGTTCGTTGGCCCCACACTGCAAGCGGAAATCAATACCAATGATCTGACGTGACACAGGTACGTGGTGGAACACTAATAAAAGCTGCAGAGCAGAGAGCGATCTGCAGTGTGATGAAGGAAATCTGAAAGCATCCATTCACGGGGCGTGGGATGCCCACACCCAATGGAGGCCCTGTTTCCATCACCAGATTCCACCAAGAATCGGTTTTAGTTTCTGTTTCGAGTTTAGACATAAGTGCTAACTTACAGAAAAAATAGCATATCTCGATTCTTCAAGGTCGGTAAGTTTGAGGTACGGACGAGTTTTCGTAAAAAGAATTAGTTGTAGAGCACGTTTGCCGAACAAGATAAGTTTACGTCAAGTATGGGAGGTAAATGTTTTTGAAAAAATGAGCCATCGAAACTATACATACGTACCTGTCCCTGAATTGTCAGTAGGTGGAAATGCCATGATCCTTTTGCTTGTTGATATTCTGAATTACAAAGTTTTACTTAATCATGGGACATCATCAGAAACAACTACATCAAGGAGAAACTGCAAGATACCTATGTGGGAAGGAACTACATTTGCCGCTATTTTTTGCAAAGCAATAAGGAAAAATTTTGCTAAGAAATTCATATATTAGGTTCAAATAAGCATATGTCTCCCGGTCAGAACCCGCCCACATCGTCGTTTCAGAATTCGCTTAACCTCTACAGGAGTTGGAGACGGGTGCCTTCTTTGGGTGTGTAACCCTTTTATTACCCAACGACAGAATATTCATTATGGCGTCATCGAATTTTAACGAAATTTTTAGAAAACCGTCGCACAGAAGGTGTAGACACCATTTCACCTAAATATTCAGCGGAGATCGGGTGGGAGATAAACGGATAGTATTACCCATTGAGGTAATACTTCTCGGGCCTGGGTAGTTCTTGAGATGGGGCCTTGCGACTCTAATTCCCAGATAAAATCCACCAATCAAAGGGACTGGAATAAATGAATGATCGACAATCCCCTCTACTGCACATAACACGTTAAAACTTGTCGATCTCTTGTTATTTCAGATTTGACTGTGAATTTAACAAGATAATGTGATGGGAGTTGCCGCCAACTGTCGCTTCGGGAAGTATGCACTGGAGTAAAGTCGACCAGAATATAGATCTCTATGTTCAGAGTTGGCGTAAATGTTGGGGGCGTATAAATCCTTTAGTGCTCACTATCCATAGTACACAGTAGTCAACCACTTTGGAATCACTAGTGAAGAAATGAGTAAAAGTAGCCCGCACGCTTGATCCATGGGTGGCGGTGCTCTGCACAACAAACCATCAAGCACCAAACCGTGATCTCTTAGGTAATCAATAATCGATTCCACAAGCAACAGAGGATAGATACAACTGACCGGTTATTCACCGAATTGTAGAATTTGATATCAGCTGACTAGTAGAACAGAACTCTAAGATAGTTGGGGCTAGAGTGAAGCCCTCCATTTAGCATGACCATATGTGACAGACCAATTTCCATGAAGGGGCGTGGGGACAAAATAGCCCGGAGGGATTAAAGTGAATAAGAAGTACAAGAGACATCCCTGGTCATAAGTCGCAGCTGAACATTGAACCTGAGGCGAAGCGTCCCTAAGCCTAGGAGTCGGCAACTTGCAATTAGTAGCATAAAGTCTATTTAGGAACTTAAGGGCTGGGATAGCCGAACGATATGGCGCGACTGCAACGCTACCTTGACTGAGGAAGTGAGTCCAAAGCGAGACAATTACGAAATTGTAACCATAGTGGCCTTACGTCATCAAACCTCAATGACTGACCAATCACCAGCACTGGGCAGCGACCGTTCGAATCTGACCCTGTACATTGCGCGCCCCAATTGAATTTTCGCCTTACCTGGCCGGTGCGGCGAGCGCGGCAGGCTGCTCAGGCATAAATCCCCACACCTCCCTCACCACGAATCCGCTCACAGAGCGCGAAACGAGTGAGCTGAAAAGCGATACACTGTTATTAGTGATTCAGAAGTCAGCGATAGGTTACTTTCGGTGAAGGGGCAGTCAACTGTCAAATTGAACATGGAGCCAGCGTCATTGTGACCGCGTGTGGTTGCGCTTCTCAACCGGGTGGCGGTACTTCTTTCCTAATTGCTACGGCAAGTGGGGAGAAGTAAAGACTTACCCTCCAAAGCCCGCGACTGTGCGCGATCGGGTGCAGCGAGCGCGACGCGATTTTCGGAAAGAACATATCACATCACTTCTCAGCCCATCGATGTCACATGCAAACCTTCCACGAAAGTCAAAGTCAGACTTCCCGTGATGTTACCAAGGTGCTGTCTGTTTTTTCAATATCAGCATTTGAGAAGGCAGAACGGCTGGAAATAGTTTTCGGTCTCAATAAATTCCTTTCATGTTCGTTTCTTCATTTTTCTACCTGAATTCATATAAAAAGAAAACCTTAAGTAATGATGGCTCATCAATGACGCAAGTGATGACGACAGGGTGTGGTGCAGTAGGATCGAAATTGTCGCGTCACGACCAGAGGGTCGCCGCGCACGAAGGAATGTAGCGGAATGCAGCAGCTGGTAAGAAATACAGCAACAGAAGAACTTACTGTAGAATCAGGCTTAAAATGATGATCGCATATCGATTGAGCTGTAGGAAGAACGTTAGAGCTGTAATAACGGCGAAGCGAAAGGTCCGCGACAGCCGCGCGCGGCGAATCGTTACACAACCGATCCCACTGCCCGTCTCCCATGATATGACGGCGATGAACAATCTTCTGCAAAAAATCGACAAGAATCATTTGAAAAAAGGTATTTGACTTTTACGAAGGATGTGTTTCCTTTGCTTCATTGTAGTTCTCATACAGATAACAGCTCATAGGCCTTAGTTTACAAAAAGCAATAACAATCGGATTCTTCGACTTCTGTCCTACTCTGCCGGAGCACATAAAAATTGTTCGGTTTTTTTTTTTGAAATTACAAAAATAAATCTATTCGAGACCTATTTCGGTGATAATTTGAAATATAATCCTACTGGAGCAAAACCAAGTGGAACTGATCAAATTCATTCCAGGTCGAGAAAAAAGGACCTTCATATTAAATAAATTGCGAATCCAATTTGTTGGGGAACCTTTTTAGGAGTGAGTCTTGAAATGAATTCTTGCCTTAACTTTTTTAGTACCACATGCAATGGGGTACAGTACCTAGTGCCAGTTGAGAGGAGGTGGTCCTACGAAGGAGGAGCCTGCCATTGGTGAATTCCCAATCAGACGTCAAACATATCTTAACTCTGGCTTTTTTTGTCCCATCTCTAAATTTTTTTCTGGTAGCTAGGCGTCTCTAACTTAGTGGATTTCACAAAACACAACTCACTGGCTTTGATAACCGCCACTGCATCCCCTATTGACAACACGGGTTCATCGTCATGGTTTTACCGATTGGACTATTTTTTAAGAACTTAAGGAGACTGGGTCCCGCTGAATCTAATCGAGCCCTACAAACTGTGGAGCCGATTGATCGCTAGTGGGTTTACGTCTGGGTATAGAAGACCTATCTAGCACGCCTCAAGAGTCCTAGCCCAGGAAGACACCTAGAAATGGGAATGGTCAACGAAATGATTTGGGTGTGAAGTGTGCAAAAGCATTAGCTACCAGCTCTCCTATCTGGGAACGATTCACCAAACAGGCTGGCGCTTCTTTTGAAGAAGGTCGTTCAGTATTATCAGTAATGTTTAGAGATACAAAAAAAGTTGTTGACCGCCCTTTCTGCTTTCCTGTTACATTGTTCATTACACCAACAACACGTAATTGTATGCCTTCGCAGCTTCGAAAGGAATTACGACATTCGTTTATACTCGACGAATAGGGGTTGAGGAGTCATCAGGATGGTGGCCGATGACGTCACTTTGGCGAACTAGGAGTCGGCCTTTTTTTAAACCCTCCCATTAGCGCTTCATCTGAATAGAAAGGCCTTATCGCTATGCTTGATCACCTGAGTTCCTTCTTTTCATAGAATTGAATATAAACGTTAAATAAACACCCTGACCCTGTGTTTAGGCATACAGCGAATTGCGCTGCCATAACAGTTGGATTCCGCAATTTCAGTGATGAAGAGGACGAACAGCAATGCGATCATCCAACGATTCATCGTGAAATTGGTTATGGAGCTGTAGGTGAAGTGAGTTGAGAAAATAGATGATCCTCTTTGTTTCAAATCGGTATTAGCCATCGCGATCAATACCGATCAATAGGGAAAAACTCGTATGACATTGTGTGTATTCCCTAGGCATTTAGAACCACAAACGAGTGAAAAGAAAAAGTTCTTGGATTTTGAGTCAGATACAGTTCTGGAGGTATATGAAGTAGAGAGAAGTTTCAGACAACTGCTCGAACCTCTCGATTTCCCACGATCAGTTTTCCTGCGAAGAACATTACTATCCATGGCACTCTGCAGGATTAACCCTCGTCCGAAGCAACTGAAATAGGGGGTCCCAATGCCCGAAAGAAAATTTCGGTTGGGGAAGAGTAGAATGAAATCCCGTCTAACTGTATGTACACTTTCACCCTTTGAACTTGTGTGCTGGGGACTTCATCAGTATTTCAGCAAACATGAATCATTGCCATTTCAACGGTGTGTCAATACAAGTCGTTTTCTATATCAGCAAATACACCATTCGTGTCATTGAAGTGTTCTGATATGAGATAAGCGCATCTTGGCTATTTATCCGATTTCTTCTAATGTTACAGCTACTTACGGAAATTTCGAGATTAAAATTCCCCGAGACGCTCCACAGGGTCGGTTCTTCGCCAGGAAGACTATCTCGTGAAGGGTGTTATACCATCCTTTTGCTGCTTCGTAACCTTTAATATATAAAATACCCATCGTCGACAATACGTCAGACGCAAAGGGTGTTGTCGACGATGGGTATCTTGATAATCTTTGGCAGAAAATGAACACAGAATCAGTGACAAAACTTTATTTGCTTTTTACAAGGTCATGCTTCATCACTGTAGTTTCCACAATACCAGCACGGCTCATAAGCCTAGTTTACAGGTAGCGATATCGATTGGATTCTTTGACTTTCCTCCTACTCGGCCGAAGCACCTGAAAATTGTTCAGCATTTCAGTGGAATAAAGGAAAGAGACCTATCCGGGACCTAATATGGTGATAATTTGAAAAATTAATCCTATTGGAGCGAACCGGGTGGAGTCGACCGAAAGTGTTTTAAGCTAGGTCGACAAACTACCACATACCGGGATTAGATGAATTTCAAATCTAGTCTATTAGGAAGCCTATCTGGGAGTGATCCTTGAAACGTACCCAAATACTTCTTGCACCTGATTTTTGGCCCACCCTAATTTTTCCTTCCCGAAACACGGCTAACTGAACCAAGGGAAAGGGGAGGAGACGTTACGAAACGCAACTCACTGGCACTGGTAACCGCCACTGCATTTCCTATTGAAAACACGGA